CATTTCACGAAGCATTTCACGAGGCTTTGACCAAGCTTACTGAACTAGGTATTTTCCAGGCTTTCATTTGTTATCATTCACTTGAAGGCTAAAAAAATAGGGTGTGTCATCACTCTCTAAGTTCAGTGGACTACGAAACGCGTCTCGCGATGCTCGATCTCCTTCCCCTCGAGTACCATCGCCTCCGAGAAGACCTAATTCGTACTCATGCCCTGTTTGAACAGAGCTTGGCAAACAGGTTTTCTATCGCTGATTCAGCAAACACACGGCGGGGACACAATAAGAATATCTTCGAGCTCAGAGCACACACATTCATTAGACAAATCTTTTTCTCAATTCGGGTAGTAGGTACGTGGAATGACCTACCTCCGACGGTTGTTCACGCTCCTTCTAGAACCCAGTTTAAAGCACTATTAGACACTCATTTATGTGAATCCTTGCGCTGGCGTGCACACTGCCTCGCGCTAAAAACATAAAGAGCAGTGCTATGTCCTTTTTTCACTTGTGCCTTTCAGGTGAACGACAGCTGCTGACCAACAAGAACAAAAGCGACTCCGAAAACTTGGGCAATAGCCTCGATCCTGTGTATCAATCCGTGAATCCGTGATTGTTTGATAAGCTTGCTGCCGCTAGCACTTACACTTCACAGGTATTTCGAACTGGGTCTTGGATTCATCGTGAAAACCCGTGGGAGAATAGTTATTTTGCGCACCGGTCGTCCAAAATGGAAAGAACTTTGTCCAGTAAATTTTCACGCCTAAATCTTGAAACTTCTAGTCGTTTTGCGGTGTATGGTGAACGATGGAAAACCGGCAGGCACAAGTCCTTCAAACAAGATAAGTCACGTCTAGCAAAGCTGCAGAGATATAGGAACAGGTTTAATAATTTCAGGCCAAAGACCTGGAATGAAAAAGTTTCGATGATTCTTGTAGTTTCATGATAGGCGGCTATGATAAAAGCATCTATCTTACCATTATTTGTGGTGGGTTTAGCAGGATCAACAGTATATTATGGGTTATAACCCCAAGTTGATACATTTAAGCTTGGCCTAGGTAGATATTGGGGGCTAAGATACCGCAGATCAAGCTCTGATAAACTCGTGCAACTTCGTGTTGGTTCGTGTGGTAGAACGACGGAAGTAAGCGGATGTCTGCAGAAAAAGAAATAGTGCCACGGGCTGCTAAGATTAAGACACGATTACGTGAATCTAGCATTTTCCGATTAGACAAATCTAGGCTCTTGTGGGCGGTAGTGAACAGAGCATGGCATGTGAGTACAAGATGGTTACCTTGAAACTCTGGGGCAATAGCTCTATTCCGTACGTGAAATGAGAACCCAGCGGTTAGGAGATTATGGAAGAATAGAAGTGTGGCGCTGTTGAGTTTTTGAATCCGGCTTATACGAGGTAATTTGTTCTGGGTGAGCGAGCAAACTAAACCCAGCAGAGGTAGTCAAGGGAGTCTCCGTTGTAGATTTTAGTCAAAGGTGCGAATAACTGTGGCACTGAGCGCCGACCCAAAGGCCTGTCCCTGAAGGGGGTCATAATGATCAGAAATAAACTGCGATGTACCCCTTCGAAGTCGATAATTTAAAGCGCAGTCAGTCGATTCCCGTTGCACTTTCTTATAGTACGTTGCTGGTAACCATCCGTCCTGATGAACGAATTTCAGGGTCACCGACCACCGCCGGTTTGCATTTGATTGCCACTTTACGAGATAAGATCATCGAATTTTCACCGGCCCGTGATGCCCTATAAATTGGGTATATCAAACACATAGCTCCCAATGTAAATTACTCCCGGGTGGATAACAGACTAACTTTTGAATCTTTCTAACCGTCAGACGTGAAAAAACAGACGAGAATGTTCACCTAATATTGGCACACAACTGTTGCTCTGGAAGATTTTCTTGCCAGCAGTAAGTTACTTTACGCTAACTTGTGCATTTGTGATGCGAATGTGCATCTTTTTTAATGATATAATTCTGCTGAGCCCTGGACGGCCACCCAAAATTTCCATAAACCCTCAATTGTAAGAAAGGAATCTCCAACATAAAGTTTTGTTTTTGATAATATTACGTCAAGTCCTTCAAATATCGGTATGCGACCGCAGTGTTATTAGAAGTTGTTTAAACGTACTTTGGGTCCACAATTGGGCTAAGTTCGTGTTTCAATATTTGCTAATGGCTTCGCGTGTGTTTTCCGTGAAGGACGCTGGGAATTTTTCGAAGAAGCGTGTTCTCTTCCGTAATGGATTTGAAAACATTCTCAGGACTACATGAACCGTAAGTATGTTCTCTTTGTCCGCGCAAACTCATAGTGAAGCAGCCACCCGCAACGTGTATAGTAGAAAGTTTCCTGTCGCTGTGACAGGCGCCACGCCAAGAAAGCCACAAGATTCGTCACAGCCGTCAAGCTTATTGGTATTTTGTTATCTTCAGCACACGTTGTATCGGGCGCACGGCAAGGTTTAATCTTCAGCGATATACCGGCCCAATTGATAGTGCCGCTGGATGAATTAGTGAGTTTATGGTCAGAACAAGCAGACAACACAACAAGATGGCCGGTGCTTTCAATTCCTTGCACAAATTAAACGGACCGAGATGGTGCACATATCGAGCTCTTCCGGGAAACGTTATGGACATGGCGAACTACGGGCAAGCTATCAGACGACGAATGACGACATCGTGCTTGGGTTTGTGGAAGGCGCAGCACGTGAAAATCTTCGGTGAGTCATTCAGGGTCGTTATAGTAGTCAGAGTCTGCCGAGAATCAGTGACGAATAGTGACCAGTGGAAATCAAGGACATTCTTGAGCCCATCAATGGCGAACGGCGGTTAATTCCTACCATTTGAACGCGAGCCGATACGCTGCACAAGGGAATATAGAGCTCTCCGAAACTTCCATACACAAAACGGTGCAAGCTAGGAACTCTTTTGACCCATATTTCGTTGTGCGATTAAAACGCCGAAAAGTCTTCTGAAACCCAGTGTTCATATACATCCTGAAAAATCCCTTCTGATCTGCAGAATGCAGAAGAAAGCTTTCACATGTCTGGAGTAGAGAAAATTAGAGCAGCGGACTTATAGTCCAGCAGCATCTACTTTTATGACACAAATCGCTGTTTTCAAATGCCTCCTCCTTCCTCCGGTATCTCATTTTCTAACATAACCCTGAAAATTTATCTACCCGAATACCTAAGGAACCTTACATTGCCAAAAGTGTTTGACCTGGGGGCTCTCAAGATAATAAACAAGGGTGAGAAACACCGTGTTATAATAAACAAACATATCATTAGTACTGTTTGCAGAGGTATCAAGTTTAGGGAGCCGCTTAATTTGAAGTTCCTGGTCGTTTCTTTCTCTGGTTATATTGGTTCCGAATGTTAAAAAAATTCTGCCTGAGATTGACGACCAGGATCCTCGGGATATGTGATATTTTAGTAGCATAAGTTGCTCCCAGCAGTCAGTTGGGCCACGTTGAGCTATGCGTGAAACCCCGAAAGACAGACAGTCCAAATGGACGTTTATGTACAAATGCGGTACCACGAATCCATTAATAAAATAATAGAATTGTGCAGACCTTAAATTGTGAGACAACGCCGACTTCTATACACCGGTTTGGAAACTGCTCATTTCTAATGGGATCTTAAAGTCTACATCAACCGAGGCAACGTGGTCACGAGATAGTGATACCCACGTAGTCATTTAAACGAAACTTGCGACGATAATTTCAAAGAGTGGTTTGGGCTCAGGTCAGAAACGAGAAGGACGGTATAGGCACAAAATGGAAACAATGAAACGAGCAATGACTTTGTATACAATAAAAATGTAATAAAGGACTCGACAGTTGTACAGTAGTCCGGCCTGGTTGAGACGACGGAAATGAAAAACGTAAGTTGTGGGGCCCGATTCTTTAGAGTGTTTGCCTTGGTGCCTAGTTGAGGACGGTATTGTAAACGTCGTGTCAGATTGCTAATGTGCTCTAGAGTGAAGATGGTCGTGAAGAACAAATTTACCAGCTAGGATGGTCCAAAAGGTTGAAAGATTCAGAGATATACAGAAAGTTTGCAGCATTGCATTCTACACCAACAATGCGAACCTCATTTTTCAGCCCGTGGATCCACACACAGGTTCCTAGACAATCCCAATAACTCATTGCACATTTACTATGACGGAGTAACTGGTTCGATAAAACGCTATGACCGCGCTAGCCTTTCGTCGGATGACTTAGAGCCATTACCACTTATCGTCGAAACGCCCTTGTTTATGGGAGTGTTTATGCAACTTGGTTTTGTTTGAACTTTAATCAGACATTTGGCAAGCTGCGCATCTCACGGATTGGTAGGGATACGAATAACACCACTGCGTTCTCACACTATCGCGATGGTAAATCCTCGAAAATTGCTCCGAAGGCGTGTAATTGTCAGATGATTTATTGATGATGTACTGCTGCCTGTAAATCCCATAGGTTTACCAGCATTTATAGAGAATCTCATAGGTTCTTGTGGCAATTATCGCTAGTGGTACATAAAAGACTTTAGATTTTTAATTCACTTGAGACGGGCAATAGGAGCTTACATAAGGTGCTAGACAAATGGTCAGATTATGCGGTTAGAAGAGGGTTCAAGTTATGAGCAACGGACTCGAAACTTATCGCGCATGCAAAACGGAAACATTATGAATTAAGGTGGTGAAAACACTGAGGTGGTGAAACGGTGCCGAGTGAAATGGACGCATACACTGAAGGTCAACCGTCGAAGAAGGACAAGTTTGTTTGATCCGCAACCAAGACAGATCGTAGGCAATTCCAAAAACAACAGTAGAATTTTCTATCCGTGTGTGCTTGGAGGTCCTTTCTAGAGAGTGTCGATTTTCAAGTTCAGGCGGACAAAAAATGTTCGGCAAAACGAATATAGAAAAGTGTACCTCGCACAACTATTTTGGAGGTTGGTTTATGGCCACTGTGACCAGTATTGTAGGTGGAACGAAGGTTCAAAGAATAAAACGTCATCACGCTAGTGAAACGACAGTTGGGATGACCCCAGCATTAGGGAGAAGAGAGGTAAAGCCGAGGCATTTAGGTTGGCAGGTAGTAATAAAATAAACAAATCTTCATGCATTGCTCCAGCGTGCTTAGTTTAGGTTCTACACTTGGCTGAAGAACCTCAAGTGAAGTCAAAATTAGAGCATCACGGTCACCCACCACAAAAAGAACATCAAAGAATAGTTGTGCTGCACTGTCGTAAAACCTCAATTTTTCCAACAAGGCCACATGAGGAAATTGAGACGGAATAGAGGCAGTGAGAAGACTTAACACGGGCGCACCACCCCTTAAATGGAACCGCACAGTTTTTTTAAAAGCAGCATGGAGACATTGCCTTTGGCCAGTCTTCACGTTCCTACATGCCCAATCCAACCGCATGCCACATCAAATAAACCCTACCCTGAAGGACTTCTCTTAACTTCATTCGGTCCACTCGTTCACGAGATCTTCAGCATTCTGCTGCTTGAAATTAGGATCTGCTCGATTGGAGATAACGAGAAATGCTTAACACGTGAATACCAATGTCATTTCAGATATTTTCTGAAAATAAACATCAAGCATTCAGCTTATTTTGCCGCTTCGCCTTAAAAAGCGGACGATTTAGATACACGCCTTTACCCTGAAAAACACATGCAGAGAGGCCCCAATTCAAGGTACTCGGTAACATTTGGAAGAATAACTGATGGTTTAACTTCTTTTCAGTCTTTGGGGATCTATATGTACTATCCAAGCCCGGTATGTGCACCTCCGCTTGAAGAACTGTTGCTGGCTGATACAGGTACTGATTAATCGGTTAAGTCCAAGTGCGCAGACATTTTTGTTTTATGGACATGAGCTGATCGTTGTCATCAAGGATTGTTTCGCCACACGGGACCCTCCTTGAGCAAATAACGTTCACATGTATTTTACCAAAATTTACCAGTTCGCCCAGTTTTATTGTATTCCCAACTGGGACTAGTATGGGTCCGTGATCCGAGCAACGTCACACTTCTGTGCCATACATAGTGTAATGTTAAATTTGTTTGCTTTTGCACAAGCAAGGCATCTGGCATCTTCCAGTGAATAGCCCCTTACATTATGACTAATTATTTGGAGGCTGACGCACAGGAGAAGACTTCACTAGGCGCTTTCGACAAGTTTGTTCATCATCAGGGTGCGATTGATTCCAGACGACCAGACTCCGCCTCCGAATTTTGCCTCCTGCTAGAAATATCAGGTGGAAACGTGGAGGACTGGCATAAGTGTGCTGGAGCGGCTGGCAGTCGGGGAATAAGTCACATTGCTGAAGGTAACCGTCCCGGTTTAACCACGTAGGCGCAAATTCCGCATAATCGCAATTTCATGTCCCTGAAAAATGAACTACATACTCAACTTATTGGGACGCCAGAAAGATCGCACAACTCCATTTGAATGCACTAACATCAGGTCCCGCTTTCCAGTAGCGGATAGAAAGAACAGCGGCGATTGTCGCTGCGCTTGCGGAGGCTGGTACAGACGTCACGGAACGAAACTCACAGCATTGACTATTAGCGGGAAAACGTGGTATAGGCATTCTTTAGCTAAGTGGCCCAAAATGAAGCAGAATAAACATAATTAACTGGGTTGGAATCTAGATCTTGGGTGCCATATTAAAAGACGTGAAACTGCCGATTATGAGGCGGGTGCGAAACCGTAATTGGGTCCTGAGTCACTATTACAGAGGCAGCGAACAGTGCTAGCTAGCAAACCAAACACACAAGCCCCAAGAAGGGCAAGACCGGTCGTGTGCTGAAGAATTTTCAGCAACTCTATGAGTAGTGTGTTACGAATAAATGCCTGTAATCGAGTTGAGCAGGGATCGGTTAGTCTTCAGGAATGGGCCTGGGAGAATCTTGCCGGCTAAACTAGAACGGAGGGGAAAACAGGCACGACGTTGGTTGTTTCCTATTTTGTCTATCCTCCCTCCGGCGAACAGAAATTAGGGTGTTCCGGATGATAATGTGGTTAGACAAGCGATGTGGGGCGACAGCATTCATCATCACTGCCAGGACGCCTAAGCCTATGCATGAAGTTGACCAGAATATAGGGCAGAGTCTTTTGAAATAAGTTCAAACTCAAGGCAGTGACCATAGTTTGGAGGATCGAATCGCCAGGCGTGTTCCAACCCCGACCGCGGCAGCCAGGAGAATGATAGTCGGACTCGTGTCCGTTAAGCAGCCTAACACGCTTTTCAAGTCCACACTGCCCGATTTAACATAGTGCGTCGCATAATTATGAAAGGATGTATATCGCGATAGAGTCTCTTCATGTCAACAGGTGCGAAATACGGTGCGGAACCCGCAGGAAACGACGGACGGCAAATAATGGCTGCTGAAATGGGCTATCTGTGTAACCCGAGTGGGAACCTCGCCCTGGAATGCTTTGTGTATGGTCTTGTCAGTACCAAGTCCTGATGAGTGCAAAATAAGTGGTCACCGAAAAAATTTACCAGGAAAACTGGGTAGCTACCACAAGTATTGAAGGCGTCCGTGTGGAAAAACCCAGGCAATCACGGTGGTAGAATGGAGCGTAGAGAGTTTTAGATAATGTGGACTTGGGAGGGTGAAAATCCATCTGTTCACAATAGAAAACTTGCGCCGACCCAAACTAACCGACGGGCACGTCAGCAACCCAAAATGCTTTTCGCACAAAATCAAGTGGAGTGGTGGCCGGCAGCACCTTGTTGGCTGTGGCTGGAAGGCTCGAAAGCACCCGGCGTAGAACATCGGGTTTTTGGGCGTGATATGCGTGTAATTGCCGCTAAAGAACATATTGCGTTTGAATAACGTAACATGTACACGTTTCCGGGAAGTCACAAATGGCGGAGGTAATCACAGTGTCGTTTAGAAAGCTTGAGTAGTCGGACGAGAAACTTTCATGGGCTCAGGCTGTATTCATCACTAGCTAGTAACTGAATGTTCTATTGGTTCTTTTTACCGCTCATATATAATAGGGAAAAATGAAGCTACCAGAAGCGGAGTCGTTACTCTCTTTTAACGAGGTGGTGACAGAACTTATCTGCCCAGAAGTGTTGCTACCAACTATCACTAAACAACGCCAGATTGACCGGCTGCTTTCATACTTGCACCACAATTTGGGCAGCGGTCCACCTGCTAAATTTGCGGGAATGGAGGCTAATGTGAGACATATGCTTATGGCACCTTCCCAAAAAATCTCATAACTGCACATTCTCGTGTACACCACAAAGCACGATGCATCAGAACTTTACAAATATAACAGTTCACTCGAGCTAAGTATTGGGTTAATTTCTCTCTTGATCATTCCCTGCGAAAGCCTTTTCAACGCTGTCATCTCCCGTAAAGTATGAGCAAATCCTTGGTCTTGGATCGGACCAAGAAGGTGATGGTACACACCGAAGATCTCTTGGCGATCCCTACCAGGTTACTCCGTGCATCGGGTAGAAAAGGCCTGGTATACCATTATTGCCCGCTGCGGATCTCTGCAGCCATTTCGAAAGTGACCGGTGACCTGGACACGATGAAATCATCAACCTGCATGGAGAGGCTGGCACAGGAACATCGTGAGTGCAGTTGGTGTAAACATCCGCCGAATGACACATCAACAATTACGAGAGACTCGCATACCTTGCATTGTTGTCCATCGCACAATCTGTAGCCTAGACCAAATCGGCTGGGCGTTGCTGATTCAGTTCAGCCCTTAATCAGATTACTGATCCGTGACGAAAGTAAAAGGAACCTTAATAATACAAAAAACAGAGCATTTACAGATGTTCTTATCGGAAATCCCTACGTCTGCATTGCTATCTTGCACACTGGGCTCACCACATAGCAGAATATGCCACATCCATTTCCGCGCCAATACCTATCTTGGTTTTCCTGACTGGTGTTAACCATTAAGCAACATAGAAAATGCAAGCTGACTCAGAATTTGGAAATGCACAGGTGTCTTTCTATTAGGGTCATTCAGAATTGTTCATTTTCACTCTGGGTCTATTCAGACCAGTGCAAACCGCTCTGAATTCATCGTCATTTCCGTATCTTTCACTACCCGGTTCGTCCAATAGGCTGCTAGCTACGTGATATATGTGTCAGACACCTATCTCCGGCTGGTTTTTATGAGCGAATGATTCTGGTCTCATTTAAATCACAAACACCATGACCTGGTCTAACCGAAGGGCTCCATGAGCCGGTACTTTTGACTTGGCGCCGGAGTGACTTCATGCAAAAGTGCTTGTTTGCACACCCCCGTATACATGAGAAGTGCAAGAATTGACCCCAGTGACCTTAGAAATACATGTTCAGGGCGATTTATTTCAAACTGTTCCATTGCTTCGCAGAAATCAGTGGCACCGGAAACATCAGTGTCACTTCCCTCGCAATCACCTTTCAACCCGAATAAGTTAAGGACTTTTGACACTGGCAGAGTTTTGGCTAGAAACCGTGGATTAAAATGATATAAACAAACAGGGCTCGCTCGTTCCGAAAAACCTACGAAACCTAGGAAAACCGTAAAGTTGTCAAACCCGTAATCACTAAAATTCCTGAACTGAATGATTTGGACTTTAAGGGCGGGGAATCCGAATTTCACCGAGCAATGTTCCTGGTGGGGTTTCTGTTACCTCTAATCTGGCATTACGCACATGCTGATGGTGAGCTTTTAATTTTTATGGAGTATTTCACTAATTGACTGGCGAGTCAATGGTATAACCTAAAACTCGCAACCACATGTCCTTTTTTATGGGGTAGAAAGTGGACGTGCGTTGTGCTCCCATAGAATATTGACCATCTACGAGACCATCTTAATGACCATCTTGACCATCTTGCTGAGGCGGCTGGAGAATGTAATTTTGCGGTGCTTGTGGCACTCTGAAATAACGCATTGGTGCTCTCTTTGTCTGGGTAGACGATTTAACTTTTTTGGGAGCTGCATGGGCATCTATTTAACCCGAGTGGAAGAACAACAACATATGACCGCTTCAAGCATAGAATCCTGGCTAATAATTTTCTAAGCGTTGTCTATTCTTTGGACGAATCAGGAAGAGTCCGACCCTAGTGTATAACGGATATTTTGTCTAGGCTCACCCAGATCAACGGAACAATATTTAATCGCAAACCAACCGAAAAACGGGGCCTGTGACTGCTATTTGATGAAAGGTCAGATGTGTTAGCTTTCTTCCGGTTTATCCGTCCACCACTAAGGTTTGCTTAGTGCCTATACACTCTTAGGGTATGCTACCCAAATTTCTTACTGCGCCGTGGTTTCCAGATTTCACATAATACACGTTGGCGAACGAATTCTTTTCTAACGAGAGACTCAACTAAGTCTCAGCTGAATCCTCCTTTTATGAAATTCTGCAACCGACGGTCCGCCTCCACCTCATCGTCAGTACCATCATCAGAGACAGCAATATCAGTGTTGACACAGATGCCTCACAGCTGCACGAGCGCTCAGTTACTCTAGCGTGGGTGAGGGAGGGGCCTGCTACTGGCCTATGTCATGCATTGTGAGGTGCCTACACCTCCGAGAGCTCAGTCGGACAATCTATGGAGAAACTGGCAACGCGAACGCCCCTGACATCACTCAGCTGCTGTTTTTTGCAGTCTCCAGCCGAGCGCAGGAGAGGTCACGGAGAGCCCATCCAGGAAAGCGTACGACACAAAAGATCAAAGATGGACTATATTGCAGATGAGCTTATGGAAGAAAGAGCGCCCCGGCTCATTTGGCTATAACAGAGAGAATTGTTCATCAGGACCTGGCCGTCCTAACAGAATCCACCTCCATCCTTGAAGAGAGCAGGTGGAAGGTCGTCAGGGGCAGAAGCATGACGCGCTTGAGTTGAAAGTTACACTCGGACACGTCTGCGGCTGAGAGTGGGGGGTCCATGTTCATAGTTCGTCTATCAGTTAAAGACCGGTACTCCGGACTGGAGGTAGCAGGTGGCCAACTGAATTGTTTTTCGAAGCATTGTACCCGTCGGTCCAAAGGTTCTTCTGCGCTGGATATCAGAGGGCCATCCTGATTTCTAGTGTTATCGTTGTCTAGAGGCTTTCGAGGACCAGTCAAAATAATTAGGTGGAACAGCCTGTGGACGTGGGTCCACCAAGCTTCGCAGTCTACAAGAACACTCAGTTTTGCCTGGGGGCCGGTTTGGGTTGCGGTCGGGAGGAGTCTGTCGCTTGGCCCCCGGGGCAACCACGGTCCTATCAGGAATTCACTGTTTGGATGAAGTTGACCGGGTTGTTCCGCAAAAGGGAGTTCCAGCTCTGAGTAGTACTGCGGGGATCTGTTCACAGTGCCCATTAATATTCGACATCCGACTGTCCAGCAAGCGTTCGAGGAACCGGTTCTGAAGGTTTCGTTCGTTCGTTTTTGTGTAGGAGAATCCGCAAAGAGTCATTTAAAAAGCGAGCTTTCCGTTGTGCAACGGGGACTTCCAGCACCAGGAACCGCGTTGGTCACGCCATGTATTACCATGCCAAACCATCGTTTTTTAAAGAGTGCTGTTTTCCGTGCCCAATTCAGAGTAGCGGAAGCAAAGATGTGGCCGACTCATGACCTGGCAGATGGGGGCACAAAAAGTATCACGAAAAGTCCGGGTGATGTTGGTGCTACTCGACTTCCAGGATGTGGACCGCGAGATCTCCACTGCGCCTGGTTGGAGACGCTGCAACATATGGCTTCTAATCGTTGTCAGTGGCGTGCTTGTTGTCATTACCTATCCAGTTTGTCTGAATGAGTGTCTGGAGGCGTATGCACCTCAGAGTGATGGTATTAAGCCAGCATTAACTCCATTCCTGGTATACGTTTTTATTTCCTTCACAATAAGGCTTTCAAGCAAATCACAGTTGTACCGGAGCGAAGCATCAGTGATGGCGATGATGATACTTAGTTTGATTTATGGGTCCATTAGCTTCTCGGTAACTGAGGGAGGTGTGCGCGTTTTGTGTAGACCGGCAAGTGATAGTGATGTTATCTATTTGGATTCGGGATTGGTTTCTTTGGTGGGCACCACGCGGTCACCCGACGTAAAGCTACCGCCTTGATGTGGTGGTCGGGCTTCAGTGATGCAATGATCCCGCGGTCTACACTGGCTGGAATTTCGTTCCACAGAAAGGCCAAAGGGGAGCATTCAGACCAAGAGCATCGAGACCCCGTACTACAAGTAATCGTGTTACGAGGCGGTCTGGTGGTAAGGTCGTACTGCCTTCTGCAATGGGAGTGTGAAGGCAGCAAGTTGTTTTCCCCAGACGACCACTATATCCATATTTATGGGAGCAGCGATGCTGTCTTCCCCAGAGGAAGGACGGGTTAGAAAAGGTCGGCCCCAAAAACCGCACACTCCGATTGCCCAGCGTTCGACCGTGACATTATCCAATACGGTCGAAATATTTTTAAAACCAAAGAGTCCGGTGCTGCTCAAAAGGCACCTGCTGTGCGCAGCCGCATCAGTAATGAAACGTTGATGCCTTATTCACTGATACCTTGGGTTAGGCCGACCCCCCCCCCCCGCAGCAGAACAACAGTTCAGATGTTGAGTCATCGGTTCCGAGCCGGGTCCCTAAATAAAACCCTACTCTCCGCTCCCTCGTGTGTCAGACCTTTGAGTCAAAGGCTCAGGGTGAGGCACCTCAACGAAGCCCCCTTTCTCGGCATGGGCAATCGGGAAGTATCATTTACCCGCGCAGTTCAGCGTCCACCGTTGTCCCTCTCCAACCCCTTCCCACCACACAAGCGAACGTCGCTGGGTCATTTGACTGTCAGTTCCCTGACGTTCCTCGGTGGCTATTAACAATAAACAAAAGAACACCCTTTTAAATCCACGAGAGCATCTCTATATAGAAGCTTTTAACGTCCGTACTCTATGTCAAATTGGCAAGACGGCTCGCGTGGTTAGAACGAGAATTTACTGACCGGAAGGTTCGTGGTTCGAACCTGACCTCTACCTCTCTACTTCCCCTGTCTGGGCTTGGGTAACCTGGCAGTATTTCGGTCCTCATGCTTGCTTCGGGTGGTATGGTAGCTAGACACCGGAAGGGTGTTACATCTGAACGATTTATGTCAAGTTGGCAAACAGGCGATGCTTGCTGGAACCTTATACTCCCTTGAAATTGATGTATGCTGTGTCTCCGAAACACGCATACAAGACCCAAGCGTGGTTATGCATCTCAAAACTCTGTGTTTCCGGTTACCCGGAAGCGATGACTCGTGGAGTATATGGCGTGGGAGTTGCACTCCACTCCATAGCTGAACGCGCTTTGCTGGATTGGATCCCCGTGAACAGTTGTCTTTGTGTCGTCCGGTTATCCAACCCAATCAAACTCAGTGCTCTCGGCATAGAAAGCGGTGCTTGTTTGTATCATCGGCTCATACCCCAACGGACTGTAATTCTTTTGAGGAGGATTCTTTCCATCCAGAGCTATCCAAGCTCATTCGTCAATTAAAAGGCACTGACATTGTGATCCTTGCAGACGATTTGAGTGCTCAAGTAGGTCGTCTGATCTCTTTGGAATCACATTTGGGCGGTCGACTAAGCGTCGATGCCCGGCGCACAGACAACGGAGATCGACTCATTCAGTTGTGTGCTGATCACAAACTGTTTCCGGGAAGTACGAACTTTCGACATAAACGTTTGCACCGCGTAGCCTTGCGGTCACCAACTGCAAATCAACCATGGACCCAGTTGTACTACGCGGTCAGCAGCCCCCGGTTTAGAGCCACAACTCGATTTCGATCACGCCTGATAGTTTGTTTCCCTCCAGGCCCTCGCAAGTCAGCAAGAACCATGCCAATACACTGTCCTCGAAGAACTATCATAGCTCAACAGTATAGATCTGAGCTGGCCCAACAACTCTCCACAGTAAACCAATACTGTAGTGGCAATGAGCATGTGAATGAAGCGTGGCAAAATGTGAAAGGAGGTATGTTAATGGCGTTCAGTGCTGTTTGTCTGACTTCTCCTATTCGACTACAAGACCACTGGATGTCGTCGAGATCGCTAAGCATGATTGATGCCAGGAAAGCTATACCCCGTCTAGGTTCGGGCAACCTGGCAGTATCCCAGCCCTCGTGCAACCTTCGGGTGGCATGGCAGTTAGGCATCAAAAGGGTGCTACAGCTGAACGATTATTATTATTATTATTATTATTATTATTATTATTATCATTATTATTATGGATGACGCGCGCAGATCCCTCAAACGCCAAATATTGAAGAGTCTAAGGAAAAACCGAGAGCTCCGGTGGACATCGAAAGCTCGAGAGATGCAGAAGTCCTTTGCTTCGGGAAACAGCTGTGCTCTATATCAACTGCTACGATCGACTGGGCCTAGGAAAGCAATGAGAAGTGAAAAAAATGGCTCGTTAATTCACTCGCAAAAACGTGAACTGGAAAGATGGACCGAGCACTTCGAAAAGCTGTTCAGCTGGCCTCGTGCGACACAGCCTGTGGAGATAATGCATACGGGCGAATGGAATGTAAACCTTGATCGCCCTTTGGAAGAATAAATAAGGTGCGAAATAGCCGTACTGAAACGTGAGAAGGCCCCAGGACCGGACGGTCCGTATCCAGCCCTTTTCAAAGAAGGCGAAAACCCCCTGCTGACCCTTCTGACAAAGCTTATTGGTGCTATATGGGACGAGGAGAAAGTGC